TAGGATGACTTATTATACTCGCAATCCATCTTTTCTCATGGATGACGGGACATGTGGTGAACATCAGGTGGCGAGATCTGTCTGTAGAGCTGTAGTAGGTCTCCTTCTCAGAAGAAGCCACTGCCTGGTTAATAGCAGCTGTAAATGCAAAGTGCAAAATATCTTATGCCTTGTGCAGTACAAGGTGCTTTAGTCGAATTAGCAACCCAAACCAGTGAATTAAAAAAACATTTTTCTGGTGGGATTGTGCCACAATTGTATAGTTTAAAGGACTCAAGAGTAAAATTGAATAGGCCTAGTGCATCCAGCTGCCCGTTACCAAAATTTGAAATTAAAGAAACAGCTAGAACTTTACAAGTGTAAGATGTATGCCAAACACAAGACCAAGAGTTAGTCAAAGAACTTCATCTACAACTTTCTCACTATTGCGCCTTAAATGCTACTTTACACTGTCCATGATTACACACAACCGGAATCCAAGAAGAGCTGGGGCAATTATAGAAATGTCTAGTGCAGCACTGGGAATTACATTCATTCTTTGGAGTCCTACTTAAAGTCCCAAGAGGTTACTGGAAAATTGTACCGGCATACGAGTGGACCACCAATAAGAAGATCACCGAGAACGCAGCTCATAAAGTGTAGTGACGATGTTAAGCATGTTCACCCCAATCCACCTCCTAGGTAGGAAGCGTCCAGCGAACAAGAAATGCTTTTTGCAGAACAGTCATCATCGAGCTGAGATGCGGAAGAGGTTTGTTCTGAACATGCGTTCCTCTGATCTGCATTCTGTGGCTAGAATGTCCCAAGCAAGTCAGTCTACTCGTAGTAGGGGAATGAAGGGTAAGTTGGAAGAGATGAGCTCATGTCCCTTAACACCAGTAGCTGTCCCATTGATAAAAAACATAGGTGGTATACAGAGGGGGAGTGGTCCCGTCGATTAAAGTGGATTAGGTTACCGCATTCACAAATGTAACATTCAGGTTAACCTGTGCGGATGGATATTACCCTCTGACTGAAGACATAGGGCTAAGCAAAGTTGTCCCGGGTTCCGGGGCATTCACAGGCACTACAGCGTTAGGGGGATGGGTGGCAAAGGAGAGCTGCAAATCAAAGTCACAAAAGTTGAATTACGATAGATGGGCACGAATCACAATTAGTGAAGAGAACTCCGACTGCACTGGCATTGATACCTTCGGCATTAATTCCATTCAGCATTCCTCTTTTGTACACCTCATGCAAAAAAGCGCATTAAACTGGTCGGGTTGAGCTTTGCTGACAGAGACTAGACTATTTTTCACCCCAAAATCCACACTTTGAGAAGCTTGCCTGGAAACAGAAGGCATAAAATGGGTTACAGCAGATGAAGCACTTTATTAGCATTTAGTCCCCATGTTATGCTCACCCTTAAATGCAGCACCATTTTAATATTGCCTGGCCACTTACCCAAAGTAGTGTCAGTTCCCTTTGGCAAGAAGAATGACCCCTACTAGCCACTTCCAGCCTAGTATATGAGCTACGAATTCCGTTCGGTATGATACGAGGGGAG